AACATCTTATCAAATCAAGTGGTTTTAAGTGGTTATTTCAAAAAGACATCAAGTCACAAAAATGGATTTCCAAATATGAAACTTCTTTTAAATGTTTTATAAACTTATATTTTTCCCCAAAAATCATACTAGTGTACATATATTTATATAAATAAGGTTTAAAAGACTTAGGACTGACAACCCACTTTGGTTCCTTTTCCTTGTTTGGATGTGGGATCACAAGTATCAGTTGTTTGTCCAAGTGTCATTTAAAATTTAGTTATATATATTTGTATATGTATACAAGTATAAAAGTTTATTCAATTAGATTCAATTACCCTTTGTACATGTTGAGCAAAGGATCCCATACATGAATACTCGTTATCAATTCAGAAAATACATATAAATTATAATAGGTATAATTTATGATACACAGAACATTAATTCACGACACTAGCATACTAGAGTACATTGTTTTACAAAACTAAAGGTTTAATTCAAAACTATTCAAGTGTATTCATTCATTCAAATACATGTTAAGAATACTAATTCAAGGATATACTATCAATCATTCATTTCATAATGATTGGGATTTCATAACTGTTATACATGTAACGTTATACGCTTTTATGAGTCAAAGAATACAATTAGTTTAATTCATTTTAAACGATACAGTAAAGTCCTTATATTATAACCAGAGTCTCCAGCAGGGGATCGAAACAATGTGTGCATAGATCTATATTGGGATTAACAACCCCGCACTCGGACTGCTAGCTACAGTCAGGCATATACGCCTGTGAGTGACAATTGTTATCATCAACTTTCAACGCATACATAGCGTTGGGTCAGGCCATCTAGTTAGTATGGTTATAATAACTCATTAAAAGGGTATTAATAATACGTTAGTGTATAATTACCTAAACTTAAGTACATTTTCAAAGTACTAGTTTACTAGATACAGTTTACAAGATACAGTTACACAATACAGTTTACATGATACAGTTTACAAGATACATTTTACAAGATACAGTTACACAATACAGTTTACACGATACAGTTTACAAGATACAGAACATTGGTTTACAAACAGAACAGTTTTATACATATACAACTACTTTTCATATACAACAGAAAATATAGGATTTTCTAGAAACAGTTTACATATTCAAGAAACAGAAAACATTCTTACAAAACATAAATACTTATGCACTTACTCAACTTTATGTTGATACTCTCTTTTCAAACTACTTGTATTCTCAGGGAACCCGTAGACAGGTACACCCGAGCTTTTGAAGATGGAGCAGTTTATGTTTTGTCTTTATCTTTTGTATAACTTTTTGGTTTCAGTATACAAAGTGAAACACATGTAAATATTTATACTTTTTAATACAATGGTTGTTTGTACTATGATTACTATATTACATGTGTTGTGATACTACAAATGAAGTCCTCCACCCCCGGGCGTTTCCGCCGTCTGGTTTGGGGGTGTGACACCTGGCATAGTAACGATCAACCCAAATGGACCATGTTACTCTCGGGTCAAGTACATACCAATAATAGTTATGTCGTGTAGGGATTCTAAGGAGTATCTTGTTTTAAGATAATTTCAAAACACATACATATAACCTCGTAGACCCTTAATTTCATTTTGATTGTAAAAGTTAGTTTTATTGGTTTTGGTCAATGATAACAACACATTCATTTTAAAGTATTTACTTGTAATAAGTAACAATGTTTCAATAGAGTAAAGATAAATCATTTCGATGCAGGTCTTGACGGATGCATGCAGAACTTTGTGTTTGGCTCTCGATTGTTAGAAAAAGGATATTTACTTACGTGGAGAATAAGAAAATGTTTCTTGGAAGTTTTCTTCAGTGTGCATGCTAGTAACTACTCACGATGGGTTTTCTGTCCCAAATTGACAATATTACCCTTATAATTTATTTGAGTTTAAAAAGTGGTGTTAATTAGATATATCATATATATATACTTATAATATTTTAGTTAATGTTTATATTCTTTTAATTGTACTATTTCAAGCATACATTGCTGTCAAATCATGTTTGATACTGTTATAACACACTTAATTTTTTACTCAAATGACAAAAAATGACGATATACTTTCCTTAATCTCTTTTTACCATATTATACCATCAAACTTTTCTGTTGTAATACTGTTATAAAACAAAGTTAATTTTTTTAGTTTGTTACTGTAATAGTGGATGACATGTTATAACATAAACTGCATATGATAACAATGTACTTTCGTTATGTAATGTTAGACAAAGTTGTATTCTTTTCATTTATTTATCATACTTTTCTGTTAAAGAAAGTTGTATTCTTTTCATTTTTTAATGGTGTATGATATGGTGCAATTAAAAGAATACATGACAAAAGGGCAATTTGGTCCTTTCTTATGGTTGTTACCGAAACTCCACCATCCAATACAACTATATTATTATTTGTTTTTGATTTTATTCATTTTTTTGGTTTTTTCAGAAATTGTTTATGTTAAGGTAACTTTACAAAAGTACCAATCAATTTCTTTCATTTATGTATACATCCCTTTAAATGCAAATAAAGCAATGTACTTTTGTAAAATGGCATGATTGACCTTTTTGTTCATTTTCAATTCTGCCAAATGATATAAAAAAAAATATGGTCAAATTTACCAGTCGTCCAAAATGTCTAAAATTGTCATTTTTTTGTATAATAACTTAACCAGGAAACAGTTTCAGTTTTACAACAACAAATTTTCGTTTTATGAAGACTATTCTTTAAACTTACAAATACAATAGTACAACCAGAATGAACATTACATAATTATAGTAACATATTCAATGAACGACCCATAATTATACCCATAAGGCATTATTGTTCTTTTATAAGTATATTTACATATAGACACATATAATAATTGTAATCATAACTAAATGCTACATACACTCACAATATTTGTTTCTTCTTAGAGCCAATTCATCATATTTTGACACACAAAATAAAAGGTACATGACCATAAACAACCAATACTAACTTGTTTTCTTGCGTTTACTAAGTACAACTAGTACAGAACCGCCCCATGGACATACAAATATTTAGTGTGACCATATGTATCACCTTTTAGCTACTTTTTCTGTTTGTAACAAAAAAGGCACCAAGTTATTGACACACATACAATTGCCTCATGTCACACTATGTTTATCTATTGTCTCGTATAAAAAAGGTATGTCAATTTTTAATCGATACATGTGGCTGATTGTGACCTATGGCCTCAATGTTCGAGTGTGACTAATATTTGTCACATTTGGTATAATTAAGTGTGGTTAAAGTTTTGATTATCTATACAATGGTCACACAAATTAATTTAAATGTATCCAAAAACAGTCTCTAAATTTTGTTAGTGACCTTTGGCCACACTTTTAATAAAAAGTGTGACAAGCCGTTTTTCGAAAAGTGTGACCGTAGGTCATTTTTGTACTAGTGTTCATTTATGTTGTGTTTCTTGAACGATTTACATCTGAAAATTATTTTTGTTATTATGGGAGCCCTAGGTATGATATCTTTCCATCTTAATTGGTGTTGGGTACGAGTGGTAGTGGTGGGCGGTGGTGTTGCTGGTGGTGGATTGGGGTGGTAATGGTGGTGGACGATGGTTGTAGTGGTGGTTTACAATTGTGGTAATAAGTTATAAGCATTTTCTTTTTAAATAATTATATAATAATTAATATAAATTCTAATTAATCAAAAAGAAAAAGATAAAATAAATTAAAAAGGGTAAATAAGTCTTTTTAGATGGATGAGGGACCAACCACGATAGAAATTGAAAACCACGTAGACCTTCTATGCGGTTTTATAAAGTTAGGGACTATATCCCATATATTATGAAACCATATGGACCATGTATGAAGTTTTGTCTTTAAAAAATTTGATACAAATAGTTTATTTGTCTTGCAAGTTCTTTGATCTAATTTTGTTACATATCACTCATCAAATAAGTGTAAAATTACCATTTTTCTACTTATTTGTCTTATTTGTCGTTTTCTTAGTTCCATGAACCATTTTTAAGTATCAATCAACAACCATTTCCCCAATTGTCTCTTACAATCCCCTCCTCCTCCCTAATTATCTTCTACGGCTAGAAATTTCAAGATCTGGATAAACATTTTTATACATACAAAAGCAAACGAAGATCTAAATAAACAAAATATAATGATTATATCATCTAGTTAAATAACCTTGATGCCCTAAACGTTTTTATCCATCGACACACAAATCATACTCAAATACCCCTAAAATCTTATATAATATTACGACCGAGACCGATGTTAGTAGGACAAAATGTGTAATTTTCCAGCAAAAAAATGTGAGATGGGATGGATTTTTTATGTATGTGCAAAAGACGTGCCATCATCCTCATCATTGAAATAACTCTAGAAAGTTTATCTAGTTAACATATATGGTAGATACATGAATGATATGGTAAGTAGATCCAAACCCTGACACGATACATCTAGCCCGATATGATGCTTTTTTCACCACACTTAATTCAGTCACCACGCTACGCGAGGCTTACACTACTAGGTAAGTGTCTTGAGCGTTTTCAACACCTTGGCATTCACAATGTTATTTTATAACGGTTTCCATACAAAATGTTGTTTTTTATTTAACATCATTTATATATAGAAAGGTAAAACAATCATTTACTTACATCTACTCCAAAAGTGTTATTTTAATTCCAAATCAATTTGGTCAATTTTGGGGTTGTTCATTTTTTCCGTACTAAGTTATGCATGGATAAAGTAGCTGAATGGGTAATGATGTTTGTCTAGATAAAATGTTGTATACATAATTTTTGTTTATTTTGTCTAGATAAAGTGTGTCATATACATAAGATTTGTTTCTTTTGTCCATATAAAGTGTTGTGTGCATAAAGTTTGTTGATTTTTTAACTGAATTAATCGTCTAAATAAACCCAAATGAGCATTTAGCAATACATAAAAATACAAATTGCATAATATTCATCAATTATGACGACAACATGTTGCCGCAATATGAAGAGAGACTATTCCTCCCGGAACAAAAGGATCAAAACCCTCCACGCCCCACAATGGATTTACACCTTGTACTTTTCCTGTTAGTCCATAAGGATCGGACACCCATATGCCAGGACCATACAAACCTGTTACGTATGCACTAAAACCAAAGCAAGCCACACCTGCAATAAATAAATGTATTCCAAATATCTTGGGCAAATCCAAAGAAGGTTTTCCTGTACGTTTATCAGAAAATATTTTTAGATCCCAATACACCCAATGCCAGATAGCTGCCAAAAAACACAACCCAAAAAACACAATATGCGCTATGGCCACACCTTCATAACTCCATACCTGGATTGGTTATAGTCCCCCCCCCCCCCCCCCCCCCCCCCCCCCCCACCATACTCCAACCACCCCTTGAATTGGTTATTCCTAAACGATTCATGAAGGGTATAACGAACATACCCAGTCTCCACATTGGATCAAGAACAGGGTCAGAAGGATCAAAAACCATTATGGAAGAAAAAATAAAGGAAAACTAGGGAAAAGGTTAATGTCTAAATACATTAAGCCATGTTTTTTTCCACTCCCCTCATCAAGTCATTATCTTAGGATTAAGTAAAGAAGAAAACAACTATATATTATATATAGTTGTCCATATTAACAATTTAACCCATTAAGCTCATTAATTCCAAAAGAAACAAACCCTTACCCTCATTCCGTTCAAAAATAAAGTCATATTTTTATTCAACATCACCTGTAAAGAGAAAGATAAAATGATAATTTACTATTATTCAACTTCACTTGTTCATGATAGACATAAGCCTAAAGTGGGCCTTTAATTACTTTTTTTTTTACTCTTTTTTGCCTTCCAGGAAGCCTAGTTATAGAACTGGAGAGGAGAGGACGAGAGGTGTACATGGAAGTTTGCTTACTTTCATACATGTCTACAATAAAAGAGGGAAGGTACCACCATTCAACACAATATAATAACATAAGACGAGCATATCACTTCAATAGCAAAGCCAAAAGACGTCAATACCTTCCATTAATTGTAAATTATTTCAATTTTTATTTTACAGTTTTAATATTTACAAATAAGTGAAAATTTGGTTGTAAGAAAACAACTCACTATTCACACAATTTTGTTTTCAATCAAGTATCGACTTATATATTTGAAAATTTGATTAATATCTTAAAATTTCTTATTGCATGGACTCAACTAAGTACACACTCATCAAACGTCAAAGAGTCTATGCTCCAAGTTCAATGGCTCATTCCATACCCATCTCATACTAGTTCAATGTTTTCTTTTGTATGCTTCCAATGATGTGTTGAAATCACAGATTACTGACCTCTCCAAATGAAAAAATAGAAAAAGGATTCTCATTTACAAAAAAGAACTTAAAATTATAGTCCCTAGGTCCTAGGATATACACAACCTATCATTATTTTGGCTTATATTACGCTTTATAAAAGAAAAACTTGTCGTGTTTATCAAAGCTTATAATTTTTTATTAAATGAAAAGTATAATGTATCATGGTTTGAAGTATTAATGCGTTTCGGCAAGCTATTATAAGTAAGGTGTAGAAGCCAATGAGATTTTCAGAATTTGAATGTTGAGATGCACTTTGGTGTGCTCCCACATCGACAGAAGGAATAAATGGAAAAGGAGAAGGAGGTATATAAAAAGGGAGCGAGGCTATTGGTTCAGATACTTACCTGGATGGGGTCAATGGTTGGTCAAGATGGACCATGGCCTACAGTAATGACTTTCATTTCACTTTGAAAGGGCGCTGCTTTAAGGTCGACCCTACATCATAATATGTGACAGAGGGGGCTTGCGTTCGCGCAGCCCCTGCCCAATATGCTAATTTTAATTTTTTTCTTATTTTTCATTTTTTGTGTTGATATTATTACAATGACTTTTTTGTTTGACCAAAAGCCCCATTAATTATATCATCTATATAATTTTGATTGCGTATTAGGGTGGAGGGAGTCGTTCCCTCCCAACCCACTGCCACATCACTTTTTCTCTTTTATTTTTCTTCATCTTTCCGAACCCACAACACACGTAAATCCTATCTTTTTGAACCCACTCAACCCACTCAATTAAAAAAAATACAAAACAACTAAGATACAAGTTTTAAAACACATGGTACAAGAGAAAATAAGAAAGAAAAAGTAGAAAGAGATGATGAAGTGGGTTAGTGAAACCAATCAATCCACTCGTTAAAGCGGTATGGTACCGCCGATAACTCTATTGCTAATTAAGATTTTACATTTGATTGTTTTGTATTTTTTTTAATTGAGTGGGTTGAGTGGGTTCAAAAAGATATGATTTCCGTGTGTTGTGGGTTCGGAAAGATGAAGAAAATCAAAAGAGAAAAAGTGATGTGGCAGTGGATTCGGTGGGTTGGGAGGGAATGACTCCCTCCTCCCTTATGTGTAAGACTTGAAAAAGCGAGTGATAACTGATAACTATGATCCGAATCGCATCACACAAATACAAAATTCTTAAAATAAACAATTACTTAAAGTACTCACCATTTTTGTCCAACTTGGGTGTGTCGAACTCAAAATTTTAATTTTACAAACAATTTTATTACAAAATACTGAAAGATTTCAAGTACGTGGAAATTAAATTGATGTTATCTTAATCCTAAAAGTTTGAACATACTTTGAAATCTTAGAAGCAGTGTTGCAAAAGCGGCCGAGTACTCGGCCGATTACTCGGAATTGGCCCTCCACCGAGGCGAGTAATGTCAACTCGGCCAAAAAACTCGGATTTAGTCAAAATCGGCCAAAAATCGGTCAAACTCGGTCAAAAATCAGACAAACTCGGTCAAACTCGGCCAACTCGGTCAAAATCGGTCAAACTCGGTCAAAGGGTCAAAATTGTCATAAAAAGAGAAAAAAATCAAGAAGTTCAAGATTAATATGTATAATGCACTTAATGATTTATTATTTAACACAAACATGTGATTATTACTACATATATATCTTAAATTTTCAGTAATTATCCACGTAGTGAGACAATTATATGTATTTCAATTTTTATGTATTCACATGTATCTAATTGTGGTTATATATTTCAATCAAATTATGATTTTAACTTATGATTTTGACATATATAATTTTCCAAAAAATATTTCTACATGAATTACCGAATCCGAGTACTCCCCGAGTACTCCCGAGTACTCGCTACTCCCCAGTCGGCCGAGCAGGTACCGAGTAGCGAGTTCTACAGCCTTGCTTAGAAGACACTTCCTAAACATATATAACATGTTTATTTCATTTCTTTTGTTACAACTTACACTTTCTATCCTTCTTATAAAAGTACAATGTTGTACTACGAGAAATTGAAAGTTTTTTTATTGAAAGAGTACGAGAAATTGAAAGTTGGATGCTATAATAAGCAAATTAATAGAAGTATATTGTTATTTCTTTCATTTAACCTTATTTAAAATGTACTGACACTAGAGTGCAACAAAGGTTGAGAGTATAGTAAGGAAAATATGGAGTTGGCTTTGTTGCTCAAATAAAGCAGTGCCATCAGAGGAGAAAAAGTCGCTTAACTGAACTTGAATATACTGGAGTGGGGGCGGGGTGTTCTATGTTCCAAATGCACATAGGATACATCATACAAAATTAATGATCCAACTAAAGTAACTCACACATGTATGTATGACACAAGTACGCATGTTAGAGAAGTATCTATGTTACATGGGCATATGACTTTGTGACTTTAAATCATATAAAGATGTTCCAATCAAAGTAGCACTTTTGTACGTATGAAACAAATATGTATGTTACACTAGTATGTATATTTTGCAAGTACATCAAATGCTTGATATGTATGTATGTACGTATAACACAAATATATATGTTATACAAGTATGCCACACATGTATGTTTAATACAAGTATGCACAACATATGTACATATTTTAAAAAAGTGTGCCATGCTACACGTTAATTATAACAATCCATACATCAATTTTCCTAACAATAAGTTTGTACTTGGTTAGTTGGTTATTGTGTCAACACATAGCAAGGTGCCTACAGTACAAGTTCATTGTTCAAATCTGTTCTCATCAACAAATTAAGATGCTTTAGTCTTAATAATAACGAGGAATCTTTCAATGTTTTTTTGTTTTGTTTTTTTACAATTCCAGTGATAGGTTGGAATCAAGGTGCATTCATGTTTATCCTATATGATTTTATCTTTGCCGAACAAATCTGGTTCTCCATCAGGAATATATAGTAGACTTCTAAAATATCAAGTACCAAAGTTTGAAGAAAATCTAAAAATGTAAAAGCATTTGGTTTAAATATTTCAAAGCAAATGTGTGGAACGAAAGAAGCATTATGTGGTAATATGCCTTATAATGGGATCCCACATCGCCAGAAAGAAGAAATAGAGAGGGAGGAGTATCTGTATAAAATGAGAACTAGGAAATTGTAAAACCTACTTACCTGGATGGGGTCAATGGGTGATCAAGATGGCTCATGGCCTAGGGTAGTGGTCTTCATTGCACTTTGAAGGGATGTTGCTCTAAGGTCGGCCCAAGTGGTCGAACCTACATCATAATTTGTGATAGTTGGGGCTTGCGTTCGCGCAGCCCCTACCCAATTTATAAGTATAAATTTCATTCCAAATTTCATTATATATTTTTCGTCTCTATTTTATTCTAGTTCTCATAGTCCTATTTGATAACTGATATTTTCTCATAATTGATATCGTCTCATTTGACACAATGTCTAAAATATAAAATATTGTCTAACAAGAGGGCATGAGTCGATTACCACTACACTAGGCCGATGAATATACAAAATACAACAAATACAAAGAGTATTGTTCAACAAAAATCACAACTATATGTTAAATCAAGTGCAATTTACAACAATTTTTATAAAAATACTACAATAAGAATTCCATATTGTGTTAATTAAATGTGATTTGCTGTTATCCTAATTCTACAACTACACGGGTTCAGATCTTCCACCCATTAATGGCTTCTTCCAAAAGAGTATCAACCATCGTTGGTGCGACCTCCACCAATAAATTAAAATGACCACACTTCATGTGTCACTAAATCATAGCCCGAATTGGAGCCTTCGATAAACTTCTAAACCCGTTTATGTAAATCTCATATATCTTTACATTTCATCTCCATCACCTTGTTTTAAACCCACTGGACAAAAGTTGAGCATAAAGAAGTTCGTTCCACGTGTCAGGGACACCAGGTAGACACCAATGGCTACAATCTTGTGGAGCCTTTGATGGAGTACCTGGTTGCCTATATCTCGAAGGATGACCATCTTTTCTCATTGTTGTTAGATACGTAATGTTTAAGAATTGGACTTTGTGTTCAGAAGTTTCCATCTCTTTGACTACATTTGAAATGATTTGATTGTTTAAATGTTCACTTTCTGGGTTCATGTAGTCTGTTTCTGGTGCTTTACTACGATCACAATGTCCACCAGTGTTCCATTCTCCATCCCTGCATTTGTAACATATTAATTTGTTCTTTCTTATTTCACGTAAAACTGTTAATCCAAAGGTTATAAATTCGAATGTTGGATGCAATTAGATCACCTGTAATGTACTGGTGAATAGCTACGAAAGAAGATGTAGCTCCTATCTGAATCCTTGAAAGCCCATGACTTTAATGTTTGAAGAGACTTCGCAAATGCTTCCATCACGTCCATTGTCAAGTTCAGTGTCTTTTCTTCTTGGAAATACCACCCCCTAAACCAAAACCATGATCAGATTGTTAAAAATGGCGTCTTTTTGGATTGAAACGATGGTTGAAGATGATTAGAAAGATGTTATTTGCTCACATTTTTAGGGTTTTGTCTTGGTTCCACCGGTGACCGGCGCTGAAGACACACTACTAGAAAACATGGCGTTTTCCTACGGAAAATAGCTACGGAAAATTTCCGTAGCTAATTAACTACGGAATTGCTACGGATCAGCTACAGAATGGGATGTCCTAGTTTAGTAAAGAAATAGCTATTGAATAGCTACGGATGCGGGTCCGTAGCTATTCTGTAGCTAACTAGCTACGGAATAGCTACACATGCAAAATCTGTAGCTATTCCGTAGCTAATTAGCTACGGAATGGCTACGAAATACCTACGGATACTAATTACCTACGGATTAGCTATGGAGTATGCTTTCCGTTAGAATTTCGTAGCTAATCCGTAGCTAAGTAGCTACAGATTAGCTACGGATTTTTCTTATTTTCAATTTTTCAGGCACCAAACGTCGTTTTTTTTCGCTTCGTTTTTTTCACACCTCTACTATACATGATTATCTTTATTTTCACCAACTTGTAGCTATTAATATCGTTCATAAAGTCGTGTGCCCCTTCGGGATCAAGTACTCGTTTCACAGTTTAACATTGTAATGCATATACTTTTCACCAACTTGTGATGGATTATGTTTGTATATGTATATTTATATACATGAATGAGTTGTGGTGTATATGTACGTGTATATGAGTATGTATACGTGTTTGTGAGATGTATGTGTACGTATTCATAAGCAATATAGTGTTAAACCATTAAACGAGCAATGGATCCCGTATGTGCACAAGACTTTATAAATGATATTA